GAGCATGGCACGCAGGCCGAAAGGGAAACTATCTACTCTACGCTCCAAATTTCTAGCGCGCTCTAGTGTCTACTTCTCTGTGCCTGAAAGCCAAATATATCTGTTCAGCGAGAGATGCTGGTAACCCACTCCAACGCGTTGAAATATAATATAGATATATATATAGATATAGATATAGGAAAACCATTTTGAAGCAGGAAGATATATGCTTAGGAGACTCTAGCTTTAAAACCGGGAATACTCTCAGCAAATAGGGACAAGCACATTAATCAATGATAAACGGTTAAGTAGAGATAACATCATAAGGAATACGCATTTAAGGTCACAGATCACTTTTCAATTCAAACACATCATCATTCAATCATCATTTATATCACATAATCATCGATGGCGCCACGGGACCAATCGCATGCCCCGAACATGAGGGTTAATGCCTATAGCATTAACACGGCCCCGCAGCACCCTACCTCAGTACCGCAGTACGAGGGGAGTTGATCACAACCAACCCTTGGAGAACCGCTGACGAACTCAACGTCGGACCACGATCCGACACACTGCTGACGCGCCCAGTCGGTGGACCGTGATCCCCTTTACAAGGGGGGACTTACGACCCTACACACCGTTGGTGCGCACAATCGGCGGGCCGTAGCGGATCAAGCCCGACACACCGCTGAGCTAAACTCAGTCGGTGGGCAAAGATCCTCGGAGACTACGGTCCTGCATACCGATGTCCCACCACTCGGTGGATCGCAGCCAGTCGTAGCCCTACACACCGCCTGATTACTCAGGTCGGTGGACTACAACCTTCCTCGGCTTGTTGGCCCCATACCGCCTGGCGCATCCCGGTCGGTGGGTCATATCACCGAGGCCCATGTGGACCTTCAGTCCTATACATCATCTTTATATACCTGACCGGTCTCTACCAGCCTGGTTAACAGTTGGGATGGTTCTCAACCCATTCAACTGCCCGTATAGTGGATCTTAGTCCTATATAATATTTATATACCTGACCGGTCTCTATCAGCCTGGTTAACAGCCGATATGGTTCTCAGCCCACCCGACTACCCGTATAGCCCGATTGATCTCAACCAAGTCGGGGTAACATGCACACATAACACACAGCAAGCACATGCAACCCACATTAACACATTGGGAAGGGGGAGAAAACGTATAACAAAACCTATGCGTGATCCTTCACATACTAAGAATATTCCTAAGGGGTTCATACTTCTTTCATCTAGGTCAACGGGATACCAATTCAACTAGCATGCAATATATAAGACTCATACGACCTACGAACGGTACCCGAAAATCAAACTAGACATAGGCACGATGGACGGAGTCCGTTGGGACACCACGGGGGTCGGGGGAACGTCAAACGGGGAAGCCGAAATCCCCAATTGGGGTGCAAACCAGCGGGTAGCCGGTGGGTGAGGGATCACACGCCGGCTGCCCGCCGGCGGTAGCAAAACCGGGCAGCGGGTGCCCGGCGGGCAGCTGCCCGCTGCCGGCGTTGCCCAAGAAGGCCGCAGGTAGGTGGCGGGTCCCCTACCCCCACCTACCCCCCACTGACTCTTTTCATCAAAAACGCCCCGGGAACCTTTGTGGAACCCGAAACCATGCTTAGACACTTTCAAACGCAATTGATAACACACGTAGACAATTAACGGATCAAAATCAGGAAACAAACGGCACATAACCTATCATGTTTTTCTAAACATAATAAACACCCAATCATGCGAATTCCCACCCAATATACCAAGAATAATTCCATACGATACAACCTAGGGTTCTAATCAATTTTAAATCAACAAGGTCACGATTCATCTTCTAATATCAAGATTCGGTAAGAATATTATATAAACATCAGGAACATCCTACAATCATCATATAATCATCAAGAATGTCATATAATCACCAAGAACACCATAATTATCAGGAACCTTTCATCATCAAGATCACCCATGGAATTATCCCATCAATCATCAATAATAACACAAATCATCAATACACAATAATATGGGGAAATCCTAAGAGGGGAATCATAGCTATGAAAATAGGTTTTGTTGAGACATGGGTTACCTCTTAGCCTTAATTAATTTCCTTGGCTATGAAGGGTCTTTCTTTAAGATTTCTCCTTTCTTGATTTCTACTACGGGAGTTCTTGGAACTTTCTTGTGTGGTGAGGGATTATTTGTGGTGTGTGTTCTAGGTGCCTTCTATGTCCCTATTTATATAATTAAGAGTCCTAATTATGGTCTAAGTGGCATGGGTTTACTAATTCTATTCCTTATAGAACTAAGGGGTTGGCTTTAGGGATAAGGGTCCATGGACCATGGTGGACCATATTAATTAATTAAAGAGAATCCTAACCATAATCTGAATAGTAAAGGTATACTTTCTTTATTCCTAATAGGCTTATGACTCTAGTTTAGGCAAGGGTCCATGATCCGTGGTGGACCACGTTTAATTAATTAAAGGGATTTCTAATCAAATTAAATCCTTTTTAATTATTATTAATGGAATTAATTAAATAATTAATTCGGGATTAAGGGCCGTAACACGGGGTGTTACATGAGGGCTTAGAAAAGATTGTTGTAGTGAGGGAATTCCCAGATGTTTTTCCCGATGAAATCCCTAGATTACCTCCAGTAAGAGAAGTGGAGATCTCAGTTGACCTACAGTCAGGCACCGCACCCATATCCAAGGTACCTTACCGTATGGAACCCGCAGAAATGGCGGAGCTCAAGGGTCAGCTACAAGAACTACTAGAGAAGGGTTACATCAGACCCAGTGTATCGCCTTGGAGAGATCCCGTTCTATTCGTGAAAAAGAAAGATGGGAGTATGCGATTATGTATAGACTACCGAGAATTAAACCAGGTCACTGTAAAGAATAGATATCCGTTGCCGTGGATTGATGATTTATTTGTTCAGTTGAAGGGAGCGGGATTTTTCTCCAAGATAGACTTACGATCTGGGTACCATCAGTTGAGAGTGGCGGACAAGGATATACAGAATACGGTTTTTCGTATGAGATACGGACACTATGAGTTCACTGTAATGCCGTTTGGACTGACCAATGCGCCAGAAATCTTCATGGAATTGATGAATAGGGTATTCCGACCGTACTTGGACGAGTTTGTGGTAGTCTTCATCGATGACATCTTGATTTACTCAAAAGGGATAGACGATCATGAGAGGCATTTGAGGATAGTACTACAGATATTGCGGGACCAGCAATTGTATGCTAAGTTATCTAAGTGTGAATTTTGGAGGGACCGTGTAGCTTTCTTGGGACATATTGTCACCAAAGCTGGAGTAATAGTAGATCCATCCAAGATTAAGGCCGTAACGGAGTGGCCGGTACCCAAGTCTGTCACGGAAGTGCGTAGTTTCTTGGGTCTAGCAGGTTACTATAGAAGATTTGTGCAGGACTTCTCAATTTTAGCTACACCTCTCACTAGTCTCACTAAGAAAGCAGCCAAGTATCAGTAGACCGAGGAGTGTGAGATGGCATTTCAGGAACTTAAGCGGAGATTAACCTCGGCACCGGTTTTAACTTTACCATCAGGAGAAGAAGGATTTGAGGTGTTCAGCGACGCCTCACATAAAGGACTGGGTTGCGTCTTGATGCAAAATGGGAAGGTGATAGCTTATGCGTCATGGCAGTTGAAGACACATGAGGTTAACTACCCTACGCGTGACTTGGAACTAGCTGCGGTGGTTTTCGCCCTAAAAATTTGGAGGCACTACTTATATGAGGTAAGATGCAAGATCTACACTGATCATAAAAGCTTAAAGTATATCTTCACCCAGAAAGAGCTGAACATGAGACAGCGACGATGGCTAGAGTTGATCAAGGACTACGATTTAGAGATCCAGTATCATGAAGGAAAAGCCAATGTAGTAGCCGATGCTTTGAGTAGGAAGTCTAGTCACTCCTTGGGAGGTATTTGTGTTGTGCCAGATGAGTTATGTAGAGAGTTTCAGCGGTTAAATTTGGAAATAAGAAATAGTGGCGAAGATAAACAAGAGATGGCGTTGTGTACTTTGAGGGTCACACCGAGCATCTTCGATGAAATAAAGGAAAATCAACATGGAGATGTCAAGTTAGAAAGAATTAAGGCCAAGATGGTCGATGGGAAATGCGGGCCTTTTGAAATATATCCAGACGGGAGTATTAGACACGAGGGACGTTGGTGCATACCTATGAAATGCGGAGAGATTAAGAAGCAAATCATGGAAGAGGGGCATTGTACACCCTACTCAGTACACCCCGGTGGAGACAAGCTGTACGGAGATCTTAAGAAGCATTTCTGGTGGCCAAAGATGAAGAGAGAGATAGCCGAGTTTGTGCAACGATGTTTAAATTGTCAAAAGGTTAAAGCTGAACGGAACAGGCCTAAAGGTTTAGTGCAATCTCTTGATATACCAGAAAAGAAGTGGGACTCAATTTCCATGGACTTCGTGGGAGGATTACCTTTGACAAAGACCAGGAAGGATAAGATTTGGGTCATTGTTGACCGGCTGACGAAAACAGCTCGATTTATACCTATGAAGGAGACATGGACAATGGAACAGCTGTCCAGGGCGTACATTGAGAAAGTGGTTAAATACCATGGGATACCTCGAGACATAGTATCCAACAGGGATTCCCGTTTTTTATCCCAGTTTTGGAAGACCTTGCAAGCCACTTTGGGTACTAAACTTAAGTTGAGTACGGCTTTCCATCCCGAGACCGACGGACAGACTGAGAGGACTATACAGACCCTGGAGGACATGCTTAGAGCCTGCATGATAGATTTTCATGGTTCATGGGACAAGCACTTGGACTTAATCGAATTCTCCTATAACAACAGTTATCACTCAAGCATCAAAATGGCACCATATGAAGCTTTATATGGGCAAAAGTGTAGAAGTCCCTTATGTTGGGAAGACGCAGTCAAATGAGTGGTGCTTGGGCCTCAATACCTACAAGAAGCTGGAGAGAAAGTCAAGATGATACGGGAAAGATTAAAAGCCGCCCAAGATAGACAGAAGTCGTACGCCGATCCAGGGAGAAGGCCAGCTGAGTTCCAAGTGGGCGATAAGGTGTTACTAAAGGTGTCTCCCACTAAAGGGGTAATGAGATTTGGAAGAAAAGGAAAGCTAAGCCCTCGATTCATAGGGCCATACGACATAGTAGAGAGGGTTGGGATGGTAGCTTATCACTTAGCCCTACCCATGGAGTTAGAAAAGGTACATGATGTGTTTCGTGTCTCACAGCTAAAGAAGTATATCCCGGACATATCCCATGTGATCCAACCTGAAGAAGTGGAGCTTGATGAGTCCCTCACGTACGAGGAAAAATCAACCAAGATCCTCGATCACAAGACCAGAGATACGAGAAGAAAGAAAGTAAAACTAGTCAAAGTCTTGTGGTCTAACCAGTTGTCTGAGGAGGCCACTTGGGAGACTGAGGAGGAAATGAGGAGCCATTATCCAGCCCTCTTCAATCAAGGTAACTAGTTAAGCTCTTAAGTTCAGTTATAGATTAGCTGGTGCAGTTGTTAGATTCTAGATGAGATAGATAAGAACTTAGAGATTCCTAAATCTTTCCCAAGCCTTCCAGCAGAAAATTCTAACCTTTCGGTTATATTACCTTTTCTCTTCGAGAACTTGATCCACCCGTTTCTTCTAAGTTTCGGTACGAAACTTATTTTAAGGGGGGATAGAGTGTAACAACCCAAAATTTCATTTCATAAATCCAGTATTAAGAAATTTCAAAGTAGATTTTTCACCCCATTAAAAAAATTTTGCGATCAATCGGTGTTTGAATAAAATAATTTTGTTCCATTTTAAAATTCATTCGACACCGAAGAAGTGAATTTCATTCGAAAATTCCAAAGTTTTCGGGTACTTCGCGTACCAAGATTTAAATCGATAATTTTAACCGAGTGAGACCGGAAGAATTCAAAAGGGAATTTTGAACAAGTGTTCATCCATATAGCTTTTGGAAAAATTCACTTTCCACTCCAAAGTAATAAAGAAATATCATTTCTAGCCTATGGTTCATGATACATGGTGGACTACAAGACATCCAAAAATCCCTTATAAAATCATCTTTTAGCTTGGGGAAATTACCCCTTTGCCCTCAACCAATCATTGTGAATCATCCTATGGTTTTGAACCCTATATAAACCCTTCATTACATCTCATTTTCCTGATTTCACTCTTTGCCTCTTCCTCACATCTTTGTCTGCCAACATCAAAGGAGAGAAACATCAACCTAGTAAGCTTGCTCATCCTTCATTCTAGCATCTTTTCTCTTCTAGTTTCTTTAGTCTTTAAGGTTCTAGGCTAAGGATAGAAGGTGTGTTGGGAAGTGTGGGTGGTGAAGGAGGCTCAAGCTAGGCCAAGAGGAAGAAGAGATCCAAGCAAGAAGACTAGACTACAAGAGGTATAACCCCATGGATTCCTCTTTAGATTTGGCTATGTGAAGCCTAATTTTGAGTAGAAATGAGTAGAAACTATGAATTTTTTATGTGTTTATGCTTGGAAGTGATCTAGTATGTGTTTGTGAGTTGTTGAGATTGTTTTGGAAATGTTTGGATGAGTTTTTGCAGGTAAAATTCCATCTGGTGCACAACATAGTGTGCACCAGATCAGAGTGGCGGCCCTAGCGGCTAGAGCCATGCCACCACGGGACTAGGGCACGGCCCTAGAAGAGGATCGTAGGCTAGTCTCGGCACATCAATAGGGCTCCAGGGGCGAACTATGGAGAGTCCCGCCCCAGGTCCCTGAGTATTGTTCTGATGAGAGTTTTGTGCAGTGGCCGGGCCCTTGTGGCTCAGCTACGTGTCGTTTCGGAACGAGTCTTACGGGCCCTTGTGGCTCAGCTCTTCGGGCTCGTCTCGACGCACGTTTTGGTTTTGATTTCTTGGAATTTGGATTAAAAACAAGTATGTTAAGAAGGATTTTGTGAAGAAATGTTACACAATGCATATTTTGCAAAGTTCTCCGTGTTTGAGAAATTATTGATTGTTGTGATCAAATAATGTGTTATTGAGTATATAAGCATGATCCTTTTAAAATATGATTTATTATGAAAGCATGATTAAATGGTATTATTTGATCAATGAGAATAGAAACATACTTGTTGAGTAAAATGTATAGAAATTGCTATTTTGCAAACCGAGCATGTTGATATATTTTTGAATACTTCATGTTAGTGTATACATGATTTAGAAGCATGTAATGAGCATTTTGACATTACACATGAGTCATATTTCAAAGATGCATAAAGGGCCAACGTGAGTCCAAGAATACTTCCAAAAACCATGAGTATGTGGTATAACATTCTTTGATGCATTGAGAAGTAATAGAATTGTTGCATGCATGAGATTAATGCATGAGAGATATATTTATGTATTATCACTATCGGTGAGGTTTTGGAGGATACCGTTTGGACTATTTTCCTCTCGGGAGATATTTATGGACATTGCGGTCCCAGTATATGTAACGCGGCGTATTCCCACGTTACGAGGTTGGAAACTTCCCGCCGGACTTGGAATCCTGGTTAGGGGGTGTGCACACTAATAGTTCGATACCTGATTCCACAGAGTTTGAACCACGAGATTGGTTCCGTAGACGGTAGGAGATATTGGGTCGGAATTATGCCGTTCCCGATGGGGTAATTCACACTTCTGTGAAACCCTAAGCCGTCTATGAGTATAAGAGAAAGAAAGAGAGTCGACAGAAACTCAAGAAAGAGAGTCAACAAAGACTCAAGTATGAGAGTCAATATAGACTCGATAGAAAGAAAGAGTGTCAAGAAAGACTCGAGAAAGTAACCAAGAAATCTCCACAGAAAGTACTCTATTTTATATATGAGTGTATGATTATATTATTGCACTAGATTGCATATAAATATGAGTATATCGTTGTACTAGACTGCATATGAATATGAGTATATTGTTGCACTAGAATGCATATGAATATGAGTATATTGTTGCACTAGATTGCATATGAAGATGATTATATTATTGCACTAGATTGCATATGAATATGAGTATATTGATGCACGAGACTGCATAAGAGTCTGATTATATAGTTGCACGAGATTGCATAAGAGTATGATTATATGGTTGCACTAGGTTGCCTATGAGTATGAATATATTGTTGCACTACAATGCATAAGAAGCATGGTCATAATGATATACATGGTTGTATATGAATAGAGCATTGTAAAAGATTGTTTAATGAAAAGTTTAACTTGAGATATTCTTTGAGCATGATTATCGTGTTGTAGTAGAAGTTCCATTATCAAGTTATGTGATAAGAATGTGAAAGCATGTAAATACCTGTGGTATAGTCCTTTAACATAATCCTATCTGTAAGCATGAATTACTTGATAAGCTATTTGAGAAGTCTATACGTTGATGAATATACGTGATCAGTCTTATACATATATAAGCATGCCAGCTGATATTATTGGGTGCAAGTATTTAGAAAGTATATCATATTCTAAAGATGTTTCGAGATTAGCTTATTGTTATAAAGATATCAAATGTTTTCAAAGTATATGTTAGAATGCTTTACAGGGTTGAGTGTGGTTATACTTAGCTTCGTGCTAACGGGTGTTTTCCTGTTTGTCTATGTGTTGCTTGTAAAACCCCTTTCAGGTGGGCCCAGCAGTGAGAAGAGTTCGAGTTAGATTAGTCTCTTAGTTTGAGATGTCTAAACTCTAGTTTTATTTATGATCACATTATGGATTTAGACTTATGACTTGTGTTGGAGGATTGATGTAGACTGTTTTGGGGTGACGTTTTCCCCCTTATCTTTCCAGTATTTATTTCTAGTACTCAGACTTAATCTTATTTGTAGTTTTACCCCTTTAGCCTGTGCAATCACCAAGAGTGGTGGTTGTGGCGGTGACACTCCCACTACTTATCATCTAGATTCCGTTGCTTAGTTTATGTTAATGACTGTTTAGAGATGTAATTAAGAGTTAGAAAAGTGGGGTGTTACAACAAGGGAAAATGAAATTGAAGTAACAATTTCATGAACTTAAACCCAACAAATATACTCAAACTAACACTAGAAACATGTACAATTAGGCTCACATCAAACTCCCCCACACTTAAACATTTGCTTTCCTCAAGCAAAACCTTAGAATAAATCACAAGTCAAGCATACAAATGACTCATCCTCTTTCTTGCATAACCAAACATACCGTCAACCAACTTGCTACAAAACAACATGCTTCAAGAGTCATCTCAGTTTGGCACATAAGACCATTCTCAAGCCAATAACCAAACACCAAAAATTATTAAAGCGCGTGAGGATCAAGTGTGCACAAATACTAAGTTGAGATTATGCAAAACACGGCTTTGAATGAGATCTCATAGGCTTGCCCTTCATACTCCCACTAGCTCAACTCTAATAATGCATGCTAAGATCAAGTATGACTTTATTAAGCTTGTAATGGGGCTAAGGGTGAATGGCTAACAAAGAAGTGGTATGGATAAATTAACAAAAAGAGAGAATGTCACAAATATCTATCTTTTCAGAACTTAGAAGAGATAAGACAATAACATCGAAGGGAGCTAAATACGACTCAAGAATAAAGCAACTTTCTAATAAAGTGGGGGTCTAAACAACAAACTTTTCAATCGTTTTATTCTTTCTTTTCTTTTCTTTTCTTTTCTCCTTTTCCTCTTTTTTTTATTATTTTCTATGAATTTCTTTGGAATATAACAAAGTATCAAGGAAACCAACTTTAAACCAACAATCAAGATTCCCACACTTAAACATTTGTAACAAAAATTACTTTTTAGATACAAGCTCCATAAAGATCTCTTCTACAAGAATATTAAAGACAAAAGCTTCATTCTCTCAAGGGTGAAAGGGAAATATTTGGCTAAAGGCTAAAGATTTTGATGCGGGTTAACACAAAGAAAAACAATAAGAATAAGGGATAAGTGTTTAGCACTTATTTAAACAACCAAAAGGCTCAAAGGGGACACAAGGGGTAATAACATATATAAAGGTTAGGCTTAAAGGCTATGGGCTAAACAAAAATGGCCTAAATCACGTCAAAATATGCAAAACTTAGACTTCGCTTAAGGAGTAATGAGGCAAGTTCTAGCAAAACAATCATGACTGGAATCTCACATAAGCCTTCACAAGCAATGCAAAACACACGAGATCAAGAATTAATTCAATTAATGTATGGTTAACAAAGCTATTGGCAAGGGAATAGATCAATCATGTGTTACACCTCAAATCACCAATCACAAATTGAATTGCAACAAGTACCACCAAAACAAACCTCAAACCCACAAGAGAGAAATTGTTAAGTTGTGTGGGGAGTTGACGCGACGGAGTGTATGTGTATTCTGTTATACAATTATGTACATTCTATTATACAATTATATAAATTCGAAATATGGGATTTTTTTTTAGGAGTTAAGAGTTTGTGTATTATGTATTATGTTAGATTATGTGTTTTATCCTTTCAAAAAAAAATGCATGTGTATTGTGTTATATAATTATGTACATTCGAAACATGAGATTTTTTTTTTTAAAATGGGAAATGAAATTTCCAAAAAAAAAAAAAAGGTACAAAATGACATCATTTTGGGCCAAGGCACACAATATAATTTACCCATCACCAAGGTTCTAACCTATGATCATTCATTTAGAATAATAATCGAGATGTCATCATACTACATGGTAATTGGTTGTTTTGAGTCTTTTCTAATTAATCAAAAATTCAGAAAACCTTTTCTGTGTTTCTAAACAAATTTTTAAAAAAATTCCCAGATTAAAAAAAAAAAAATCCAGCTCATTTTTTTTTAAATTCCAACCAAAATTAAATGAAAATGAAAATATATTTTTTGGGTCAGAAATATTGTGGGTATCGGTGTAGATAAATTTGCAAACATAAAAGACATTGTCATCCTTTAATTGCTAATTTATCTTTGAATTACTCTCTTGTGAGAATGGCTCACAGATCCTTATTCGTGAGACGGATCGGGTCAACATAAAATGTAATACTTATATTTAAAAATGTGATATAAGTATCCGTCACGGGGCGCGACGACCGACCTCTCGGCCAGCCACGGCGTCGCTGAGCGGTAGCAGGTTCGGTGATAAGTGCTTATTTGTTTATATTTTCCCCTCTTTCACTAAGTCATTTTGCCTATAGATCATTCCAAATTTCATGAGATTATGATTAAATTGTGTTATTTTGCTAGGAGTTTTGTTTGGAAACAAAGATGAGTATTTTCGGGCATTTTGGTGGACATTGGAGTCAAATGGAGCATTTTGGATGCATTAGGAGTCCATGGGAGCCAATGAGAAGTTAAGAGGATGGACAAAATACTTTCAAGGGAGCCTAAGAGTGGTGTATTCAATGGTCTTAGTCATTTGGGCAAATCAAAACAAAAGAGGAGCAAAAGATCAAGACATTGTAATTTTCGCTCATTTCGGACACTGTTCGGATTTTTGACCATATCTCGGCCTAGGAATGTCTAAATGAAGTGATTCTTGCACCATTGGAAACCTAACTTAAAGGGCTACAACTTTGTTGAAGACCATAAGTGCCAATAAAATGTTTTTAGATGAGAAAAATAGCCTAGAAGTCAAGACAAGTGCACAGAATTCTGTTTTCAGCAGCCTCGTACGCCCTGCCGTACGCCCGTACGCATGCCAGTACGCATCTCTTCTCCCTGATCCAGTTTTCACTGGAAATGCACCAAAAATCGTACCCCCTGGCGTACGCCCATCCCTGAGGGCGTCCCAATCTGCTCTGCTCTATTTAGGCGCGTTTTTGTGTCATTTCAACTTGGTTTTGACCCATGGTTGAGCCCTAGCTTCTCTCTTTCATTTCCTTTCATATTGTAGTGTTAGATTAGGTTTAGATTTAGGTTTCTTAACATTTTTCAAGCTTGTAATCAAAGATTCAACACTTGGATTCCAAGATTTACCATCCATTTCTTAGTGAAGTTTTCTTCTCCTTTTTATCTCTTTATCTTGCAATGTTTATGCTTTACATTTATGTTTTTGTGTTCTTTATGCTATTGAATCATGATTAGTTAGTTTATGGACTTTAGTTAGGGTTGTATTATATATCTTGATGCTTGATTTGTGTTTATTGCAAAAAAGGGGAAGAACTCCAACCTAGGGTTCATGTGTTTGTGAAGGTTTTGTATTTATATCTTGTTAATGTTTGATGTACACATTCATTAGCTTGTTTTTGGAGAATTCCTTGCCTCAACGAGAGTTGGGTGATGAAGTCAAGCCACCCCTTGCATAACCCGATTTCCTCCTACGAAAATTGGAGAAATTGGGGGCTTTAGATGCTTTGTGTGCTTGATGGACTTGGAATTGATTCACCACGAAAGTGGGGCAATTCCTTGTTCTAATCCTTGTTTATTAATCATGAGAATGGTTCGTAGACTAGGATACTTACGTGCATTCCCGCTTGTTTCCTTGGTTACTTGTTCTCCCTAATCCCTTAGGTTGTTAAAGCATCTAGATGGTAATGCTCCCTAGCTTGAGTCATATCTCTTTATTTTGTGTTTATCTTTGTGTATATGTGTTAGTCTTATCATTTCCTTAAGCTTGTAGTTTGCTTAACTTCTTGTTGATTTCCTTATGCTAGTGCCTAGTTTATTGTGATTGCATATTGCGTGTCATATCCCCCAATCCCCTGAGGACGATATTTCACACCCGTACACTCACCATCATTCGGTATCCGCCGAGGGCCCATCCTGGGCCGGTTCTGGCTGGCTGGATTCGCTGCTGGCCGGAACCAGTTCAGGTGAGACCGGTTGAGCTGAGACAGATGATGATGCTGGAACAAGTACAGACTCAGCCTATGGTCGAGCCGTGTGAACTGGTGGTGCCTGCAAAACTGTCTTGCCAAAAGGGAAAACATTCTCATCAAACCGAACATGCCTGCATATATATACCTTGTTAGTCTGAAGGTCCATGCACCTATACCCCCTAAATGACTCAGGATAGCCTAGGAAGACATATGAAGAAGACCTGTAAGACATCTTATGACGATTGTAGGGACGCAAATAAGGATAGCACAAATAACCAAAGACACGAAGAAAAGAATAGGATAGAGGGGATTTATGCAATAGAAGATGAGGACTGGATTTATTTGTCACAACGGATGTCATTTTATTAATTAAATAAACCGCAGTCTTAAAAGCATAACCCCAAAACTTGTAAGGAATGGACGCACAACTTAAGAGACCTAGACCAGTTTCAACAATGTGTCTATGCTTTCTTTCGACACGACCATTCTGTTCATGAGTATACGCACAAGATTGTCTATGAAAAATGCCTAACTGAGCCAGGGTGGAGTGTAACTTTTTATATTCAGCTCTTAGATCAGACTGAATGGATTTAATTTTGCTATTGAATGAACGTTCAACCATAGCCCGAAATTTATCAAAGATAGCATAAAGATCAGACTTTTGTGACATAGGGAAGTACCAAGTGTAACGAGAGTAGTCATCAACAAAGATAACGAAATAACGATATCCATTAGTAGAAAGAAGGGGAGCAAGTCCCCAAATGTCTGTGTAAATTAAATCAAGGACACACGAGCTAGAGGACTCAACACGCGGTAAGGGAAACCGCGCAGATTTCCCTAACTGACATACATTACATAGACCGGAAGAACAACGAATATTACTACTAGACCCACTAACCGAACAAGACGAAAGAATTTGACTGAGAACTCATTGATGAGGATGACCAAGATGATTACGCCACACAGATACTGAGGTTCTAGCCGAAAGAAACGCAGTTGGTGACGAACTCGGAATGGGAAGTTTGTTAAGCCCCCCAGAGCTGTTACCCCGTAGAAGAATTTCATTGGTGTTGATATCCTTCACAACAAAAAAGGATGGGTGAAACTCAAAGAACACCTTATTATCTGATGCAAATTTTTGAACAAACAATAGAGATGTAGACAAACTAGGAACATGAAGAATATTAGAAAATTGAAAAGATCTAAAGGGAGAATTAAAGATAGCATGACCAATATGACTAATAGGTAATCTCATACCATCACCGACACGTAATGTGTCATTACCTTTGTAGTCCTCCGAGAAGGAGAGAGCAGCGATGTTTGGAGTGGCATGATTGGTGGCACCTGTATCTCGAAGCCAAGTGTGGGAACCTTGAGGATCCAAAGGAGTTTCTTGATATATGACATTAGCCTGGGGATCCTTGGCACACCAAAGATGGCATATGGAAGCAGTATGACCTAGCACATGACAAATTTGACACTTGGGTTGCCAGTTGCCGTTACGTCCTCCACCACGGCGACCGCCACCACCACGCGGTTGGCCGGTTTGGCTGCTGTTTTGACCGTTGTTCTGGCCAGAACCACGGCCACCGTTATTGTGCCCAGAACCGCGGCCCTTCTGGCTGCCCATTTGCGCCGTGAAAGCGGCCGGCGAGCCACCTCTGGGACCACCGCGCGTCATAAATTCCTCTGCGCCCAAGAGATCTGCAAGTTCTTGGAGAGTAATGGGCTGGTCGCGCACGTTGAGAAACGACATGAGACCCCTGAACTCTGGTCATAACCCTCGAAGAACGTAAAAGTTTTGTTCTACAAGTGTTATAGGTCGGCCAGGGAGAGCAAGCTCCTCCACCAAAACCCTAGCTTTGCCGATGTAGTCAGCCGCGGGCATGTCTCTTTGATCAAGTGTCTGCAAATGTCCGAGTAGATTGAGACCACGGAAGCGAGAAGACGGTGCACCAACCACAGCAGTCCAGACAGCCCGGCTGGTGCGGTGGCCGATGGCGAGAGGCATGATCTCATCGGAGAAGGACGACATCAACATGGACAATAAGGCTTGGTCCTGCCGGACCCACGCACGATGCGCCGGATTGAGCTGTGTGGTCGCCGTACTATTGCTGTCGCCAGTTAGGATGGCCGGATGACATGGATTCGTTCCATCAACAAATCCATGAAGATCACGACCATCAAGAAACGGAACAACCTGGGCTCTCCAAAATAGGTAGTTCTTGTAGGTCAACTCAATGCTTATGAAGTGGTGAGCGGTGGATAAAGAATTAACCACCGACATAGTGGAAGAGATAGGAGCATTAGAGACTGTCCGTTCAGAGAAATTAACATATCCGTCAGCCATTGAAAAGAAAACCCTAGCTTAGTGATACCAGATGAGAGCTAATAGAGTCGTGTATTGAATGAATAATAATAAAAGTCTCAGAGAGACTTGAGATAGAGAATCATAATCAAACTCAAATAAATAGAGTCCTAATAGCATTTTCTAGTTTCAAAAATATTTCATCTTTGAAACTCGTCAAAACTCATTCAAAAATGCTTTTGTATCCTTTCCTAATTAATCAAAAGTTTTCAAAAATGTTTTGAGTGTTTTTTAATTAATAAAAAATTCATAAACTCTTTTCTGTGGTTCTAACTGAAATTTTTTTAAAAAAATCTAAATTCAAAAAGAAAAATCCAGCTCATACTTCGTTTCCTATATATATTCTTTGAAAAAAAAAATAATATATATATATATATATATATATATATATATATATATATATATATATATATATATATATATTCTTTGAAATTGTTGTTTCTCCATTTGTCATTTCTTATTTCTACATTTTCCATTTCTTATTTTCGTGTAACCTAGCTCTTTAAAACGTATCCTTGGATATTTTCAAATCAACTCTATATTTTTTAGAATTGGAGATAAGATTTAGCTGCTATAGTTGTATATTACTGATTATTATTTGACAATTTTTCACTAAATTTAAATTTAAAAAATTATAATTTTATTTCTCAAGTACTTCAAATCTTTATTATCGAATTAAGTATCACAAGCCCAGCACTAGCCTACAACTTTGACTATGGATAAGTAGAGATTAATTATATTGGACTAAATTGCACAATTAAATATAAATAGAGCGCGGTTGATAATTACAAATGTTTGAACTTTCTTTAAAAAATTAAAAGGTGAATATTTTATTTTTACATTTAATGAAGTTTTTGACTTGGAAATATTAGGCTTAATTAGGAACCAAATTCTTTAAAATTAAGAAAAAGAAAATTAGGCTTGCACAGGCAGTTCAGTTAGTTTCTAAGTGATAGATTGTAGGCAATGATGCGGGATCAAACCTTGGCAGCCACAATGTGAGAGTTACCAAAATACGGTGCGCTATATCTCAACTTACCATAGAATATTGCAATTTAGCATATTAATTATTTTTCAAATGTGCAAGTTAACGTTTTTCTTTATTTTTCTTTCTTAAAGAAAATGATTTGTAAACATTTCGCAATCACTATCAGAGGATATGCAATGAGTAAGCTTCACTTCAGTACGATAACTTGCAAATTACAGATGAGATGTAAACAACACTAATAATTAAGATTGTGCAACAGACTCGAACAATAAAGTGTTAGTAAGAATCAAACCGGTGACCTTCAAGTATGAAAGTCATGCTCTACTCACTTACTCGGTCACCCATTTTGAGACTCCAATTATTTATTTTAATTTCAAGGATGGATGATAATAGTACACAAATTGAACTATTTGTAAATTGTAACAAATATTTTACGTACGATCTAACGTGCCTAATTATCCTTCCGACCAAATTATGTACTACTTTAATTAATTGTTTAAAATGTCTTAGATGATAAATTTCTTGAAGCAATCAAAGATACACAACTCAAAGGAAAGAGACAGAGTTTGAAAAACCTAATATCCTCTCCCAATTAGCACAAGAGGACCAAAAACATGAACCAAGTTTAATTGAATTTTAACTTTAAGGTTGTACAAATGTTGCCATTTAATTTGTTTCATAGGCTTAGTCAAGAAAACGCACTCCCCACCACCCACCCACCCACTCAACTTTTGGTTACAACTGTAACTTATCTAGGCCTAAATTATTTTTTGCTATTTTTTAGGGAAAATAATAGTGTTTTTGTCCTTTATATATATACTAGTTTTTTACGCGCATTGCGCGATTGGGATAATGCTCAATGTTTTTTTTTTAAATAAGTACTTTAAGGTATATTAAAACAAGATTATATTGAAATTGTTCATGCATAGATAATTGAATGTTAAATTTGTGTATTTAAATAGGCAATTCTAAGTTTACAAATGCAAGATAATAATTGTATAGGTATGGTTGAAATCAAATACAGGACATAAGGGAGAGCAAATAAAAATTAGGGCATAAAATATTAAATATATACTAATATTGAAGAGCTAACTGCTGATTGTCAAACAAGGACACTTCAATTTGTTGTGTAATTTGAATACTCTTTTTGTCAATAAATCGCCCAAGTAGTTAATATGATTGGCTTAATTATATTTTTTTATTTTTTAAAAACAATTATTATTATTATTATTATTATTATTATTGTTATTATTATTATTATTATTGTTATTATTATTATTATTATTATTATTATTATTATTATTATTATTATTATTATTAAATATATGTATACCCTTAGGTCATTTTACATGTTAATCTAAACAGATAATTTTTTCAAATATCTTTTTACCAACCGTTGATATAATTCGCTGGTCAAATCCGCTAATATAATTCGCTAACGCTAACCGCTAACTGCTAACTGCTAACTACTAACTGCTGATTGTCAAACAAGGACATTGCGAGGTAATTCTCACTTCAATTTGTTGTGTGATTTGAATACTCTCTTTGTCAACAAATTCCTCAAGTAGTTAATATGATTGACTTTATTAATTATAATTTTTTTAATTTTTTCATGGTATTAATAAAATACTTGGTAAATAAATATATAGCATTATTTTGTATTTTAACTTTGATATTTAATTAAAAAAAATAGTGCACAAAAAAGATAATAGACAATGTAATGAATATAATCAATTGATGAATTTGAATGTAAAGAATTTTTACATTGGAGAAAAATAAAGACAATATAACTAATAAAATTATTTCTCTTAATTAATTTATTGATAATGAATAATTTTTTTTTTAATAAAGACATTGTAGGGACAATGTAGCGAATATAATCAATTGATGAATTTGAGTGTAAAGAATTTTTATATTGGAGAAAAATAAAGACAATATAACTAATGCAATTATTTCTCTTATTTAATTTATTGATAATGAGTAATTTTTTTGAATAAAAACATTGTAGACACATAATTTTAAATTAAAAAAATGCATATGTATTATTTTTTGTTGTAGATACTAAATTATTATTTAATTTAATAAGAGTAAAATAGAGTACTAATTATGCCAACTTTGATTGGGATGAGGTTCGAACCTAAGACCTTTCTTATTGAAATCAATGAGTAAGTTAACGGTGAACTAACAGAAGTTAACGGAAAAGATAATATTTAACGGAAAAGTTAACGGATAATCATATTTATTAAGGATAAATTAGGAAATCTCAAGGAAAAATTAAAATCTGATCAATCTGAGCCATTCATTTGATTAAAAAATTTGACCGCCATTTTTTCTACCCATTATAGGTCTAACTCTCTTGGGCTCTTATTAGTATATATATAGTAGATATATATATATATATATATATATATATATATATATATATAGAGAGAGAGAGAGAGAGAGATTATGAGATTTGCAATCCACTCACGCAAAAGAAAATATCTATGATACAAAATACAAATTATTAAAAAAATTTATATTGTATATGCTATACTAATACAAACTCACATTCATTTCTATTGCTATACAAAAGCTACTTTAAAGTCTTTCGAAACTCCATTTTCTCAACTTCAATGAATATACCACTTTGAAAATTAATTTCTTCGTTCACTCATTATCAATTTTGATATTATAATATATATATATATATATATATATATATATATATATATATATATATATCAAATTCATCCTCTCAAGTAGGAGAATCTAAATCTACTTTAACCTGACTCAAATCAAAAGTGAACACCATTCAAAATAGACATTTTAAACGTCATTTTAACTAATTTTTCAACAATTAGCCATCCATTTTTTAATGGGTGACAACTTTAATTTAATCTCTCAACAACAAAACTGTTAAAATCCATCACATTTGCATTGCACCTGTAGAGCTATTAGTCAATATAAAGACAAATTTATATTTTACAATTTTAAACCATTAAAATCTTTGTTGATGAATCAAAGTAGCCAAAACCATCACCTTATGAAAAAAGGAACCAAAATCACTATCTCATATGAAATTAGTGGGCAATAATAACATTCATATTACAATTACAGGATTCGTGCAAATTGTTATCTCAATAAGAGTGATCCAAAAAAAAAAAAAAAAAAAAAAAAAAACCGTATTTATCACTAAAGTCTTGAAACTGGTTGACTATTCTCACCCTTAAACTCTATATATAGTTAGCTACAAGCCCACTATTTTATCACACAACATTAAAGTATATTGCCATTAGCAACATGGAGTACTTAAGAACTCTTCCCATTCTCCTCCTCCTCCTCAGCCTATTCACATCCAGCTACGCCGCCACCTTCGAAGTCCGCAACAACTGCCCCTACACCGTGTGGGCGGCTTCGACGCCAGTGGGCGGCGGCCGCCGCCTGGACCGAGGCCAAACCTGGAGGATCACCGCCCCAGCAGGCACGAAAATGGCCCGCATATGGGGCCGCACAAACTGCAAGTTTGACTCTAGCGGGAGGGGCTCATGCCAGACCGGTGACTGCGGCGGCGTGCTGCAGTGCACCGGGTGGGGGAAACCCCCCAACACCCTAGCCGAGTACGCCCTCAACCAGTTCGGCAACCTCGACTTCTTCGACATCTCGCTCGTCGACGGCTTCAACATCCCCATGAGATTCGCCCCCACCAAAGCCGGCGCCAACAAATGTCGTGCAGTCTCATGCACGGCGAACATCAACGGCCAATGCCCCGCCGCTCTGAAGGTTCCCGGCGGGTGTAACAACCCTTGCACCACCTTTGGAGGACAACAATATTGTTGCACCAATGGACCATGTGGTCCCACAGATTTTTCGAGGTTTTTCAAGACTAGATGCCCTGACGCTTATAGTTACCCTCAGGATGATCCCACCAGCCTTTTCAATTGCCCTGCCGGAAGCACGGATTTTACCGTTACTTTCTGCCCATGAAATGTTATATTATAGCCCTAAAATGTTAAGAATAAGTGGTCGATCTAAGGCTGTGAAATCTAAATAAAATGGATGGTTTGTTGTACACAATCCATTGATGATCAGTTACAATAATAAATGGTTGTAATAAAAGGTTTCTTTAATTTACTTAGGTTTTATTATTATTGTTTTTTTTTTTGAATGACAAGAAAACTTTCCGTCACTATCAAAAGGTGTGTACTGATGAATAAGTTACACTCGTGTTCTTTACTTACAAAAGAAAAAAATCAGCAGTCATGATTCGAGAGTATACATGGTAATAAATCTTATCCTATTTCTGTAGCCTGTTTTTAGTCAATGAAGTTTATGTTTTGCCAACCACTCATTAAATCGATGAATAATTAATACATATTATTACAATAATTAATTATATACTTTCCAAGAAACAGACACTAGAAAATTTTTTATTATTATTAAAAAAAAAAAAACTGCAATTTTTTATAAATTCATCATTGATATGCAAAGGCGAAAGCTGGGCTTGACTCAGTTACTCATATCTATAATTTATTTGTTAGAAGAGTTATCATTTTTAGTTCCATATGGAGTTTTAGTTTATTTTTAATTTTTGTCATTAACTATCAATTTCTTTTTTAATTTATTAAGTGCATGACTTTAAACTCTTCTCAATGTTGGTCTATTCAACCAAATAAACATTGACCGGAAACAATCACAGGCATGCAGCATGGAATTGAGCATGCTGGGAGTATTATTTAGAGCAAAGTTGTCAACTCCTACTTTTCTCCATTAGGTAAAGCAAAATTACTGAATTTTATCACTTTAATGATCGTTTAGTTCACGAAATGTTATATTGTCTTAGAGAATGTTGTTGGGAATGCTAGATTACTGGGGATGTTAGATTACTGAAAATGTTAGATTTCTGTGTTTGGTTTAAAACTGAGATACGTAATATAAATCTGTTTGGTTGAAGAGTTATTTTTTATATTATAATGATTATTTTACTTGAATATCGTTAACTTATGTTTATGTATTTTAATAAATTTCAAAAATTTCAATGTTAGTTCAAGACTTCCAATTTTATTAATAACAAAAAAGGTAGTAATTTTAAAGTGCATTGTCAGGTTAATAGATGACTACTTAAAAATGGACTGCGTGCTCAAAGGATATGGTCCTCAACAGTGGCAGGAATATAATTTCTCTCCGTAGGGCGTTTGGTTTGGGTTATATCTACTATCTCCTATACTTCTCCCAACTATCTACTATAGGAATAAGGTTCAAATTGGTCACTGAACGTAACCTGAAAATGCAATTAGGCCACTGAACGAAAAAAAAGTGCAATTAGGTCACTGAACACTCCAAAAATGTGCAATTTCACCTGATAGCAGGTTACCCTCAATTTTAGCAGGTTATCTGCTTACGTGGCAGCTGAGTTGACATTTTTAATAAATTTTAATTAATTTTTAATAAATTTTAATAATAAATTTTTATTAAAAAAATTTAAAAAAAAATTAAAACGACTTTATTTTATTTTTTATTTAATTTTTTCCAATTTTTTATAAAATTTATTATTAAAATTAATTATTAAAAATTATTTAAAAATTATTAAAAATGTCAACTAAGCTGCCACATAAGCAGATAACCTATAATGGGTAGAAAAAATAAGGTCAAATTTTTTAATCAAATGAATGACTCAGATTGATCAGATTTTAATTAATTTTTCTTTGAGATTTCTTAATTTATTCTTAATGAATATGATTATTCGTTAACTTTCTAGTTAAATATCATCTTTTCCGTTAATTTTCGTTAGTTCACCGTTAACTTACTCATTGATTTCAATAAGAAAGGTCTTAGGTTCAAACCTCATCGCAATCAAAGTTTGATTTCAATAAGAAAGGTCTTAGGTTCGAACCTCATCGCAATCAAAGTTGGCATAATTAGTACTTTATTTTACTCTTATTAAATTAAAAATAATAATTTAGTAGCTACAAAAAAAAAAAATACATATATATTTCGTTAATGCAGAATTATGTGTCTACAATGCCTTTATTCAAAAAAAAAAATTATTCATTATCAATAAATTAATTAAGAGAAATAATTTCATTATTTATATCGTCTTTATTTTTCTTCAATATAAAAATTATTTACATTCATATTCATCAATTGATTATATTCGCTACATTGTACCTAAATGAATCTACATTAAGTGGATATGGATAGGATGAGAGCGGATTTGACGAATTCTTGTTCACCCCTATTTTGTGTCACTAAAAAGATTCAATTAACCACATTAAGTGAATAGTACGGATGGGATGAGAGCAGATTTAACTGATTCTTGCTCACATTAAGTGGATAATGATTGGATGAGAGTGGATTTGGTGGATTATTCTTGAATTGCTCACCCCTCCTAAATATAACATAAGTGCTTGAGAGTTGTGAAATATTTTTTTTTCGTGTGATGTTGACAAAAACCGAATTCGTGACCTTTAGATACAAAATTCATAATTTCATACTAAATTCACTGTATCACTCTTTTTAGGGTGATGATTCTTTACTTTCATTGTTTTGTTCGCTAATTTTCATTGTTTTGGAAAAAAATATATAAAATATTTCAAAAGGACCACTAGTGAGGCATTTTTCTACTTTCTTCTGGCATAATATTTTTCTTTCTTATTAGCAATGTTATTTTTTGTTGTAAATATTTTTTTTTCCTCATTATTTTCTGATCTTTTGATATTTATTACCTTTGCATTGTATATTTTTCTTTTCCTGTCATTAGTTTTCTTGGAGATAGGACAACCTCTTTGTATATATATAGACATTATTATTTTCAATGAAAGCAAAAGTGAATTTTTCCCTTCAAAATTCTTGATTTATTATGGCATCAAAGCCTTCAAACAAAGAAACAGAGAGTGAGAAGAAGGCTGTTATTACCTACGTAGCTTCTTCTTATGCCTTGAACTCCAATGACAACCCGGGTAGTATAATCACCGAGGTTCAATTGAAAGAAGAAAACTATGATGAATATGGGTGAAGGCTTTGGAGATGGAAGCATTCAACTACCAGCAGAAGACTCACCAGATTTGGGAGATTGGTGGACAGTAAACTCCATGATTGTCTCATGGATTCTGAATACTATTATTGAGCCTACTTTGCAATCTACTATAACAATTAAAGAAAAAGCAGCGGATCTATGACGACATAAAACAGCGATTCTCAATCGCTAACGGGCCTCATATTCAACAATTGCGTTCAGCCTTAGCAAACTATAGGCAGAATGGTGAGTCAATTGCAAATTACTTTGTGCATCTCAAATTGCTTTGGGACGAACTCAACACCCTTGAACGGATGCCTGTGTATACATGTGGAGGGTGTAAATGCAGTCTGAGCATCCAGTTGGAGAAGAGAAAGGAAGAACAATGAGTTCATCAGTTCTTGATGGGCCTGGAGAACAATACAACACCATTCGTTCTAATATTCTGAGTCAAGACCCATTACCCAATCTGAATTGAGTTTATCATATGGTTGTTCAGGATGAACAAGCAAGGACGATAATGAGTACACACGACAATCGTTCAGACCCCGTAAGCTATGTAATGCGAGCAGGACAAGGAAATCGTGTTACGGTAGGGGGGCTAAAAATGATGGAGTGACATGTGGACACTGCCACCGCATCGGGCATGATACAATCGAATATTTTCAACGCATTGGATACCCTGAATGGTGGGGTGCTAAACCACGATCTAATGGTCGAAGTACAAGTCGGGGCATGCAACAACAGATTGGACGAGGAAAAAGTGCAACACCAAGAGTCAATGTAGCACAAGCTGTTGTAGGTGAAACCCCTTCTCAAGCTGCATCGGTGATAAATAAAGAACAGATTGCTATTAGAGGACTTTCAAAGGAACAATGGAGTGTTTTCTTGGCAGCTCTTAGTGTTCATAAACTTGAAACCAACCAACGTCTTTCAGGTAACTTACCATGGATTATTGACACCGGAGCGTCAAACCATATGACAGGGACACTCAATCATATGATGAATGTGAGGACAATCAACCATGTCCTGTTGGGCTGCCAAATGGAGAAGAAACTTATGCAGCAAAGCAAGGCACTGTGGTGCTTGGTGAAAAATTGAGGCTGCAAAAAGTTTTATTTGTGCGTAAATTAAATAGCAATTTAATTTCTGTATCTCAACTCTTGGCTGATTCGCCCTACCATGCTCAATTCCCTAACAACTTTTGCGTTATTTAAGATCGCACCTCGAAGACGCTGATTGGAACCGGTGAACAACCGGGGGGGAAGGACTTTACTTCTTGAAGAAGGCAGAATCCATGCAAATCAATAATGATTTAAGTTTGTCGCAGGCAGAGTTATGGCATCAAAGGTTGGGGCATCCATCACCTACAGTTATGAATTTTCTTCCTAATTTTGAAGATGATAGTAGTTTGAATAATAGTGACTGTGAAGTTTGTTTCCGGGCCAAACAAACTCGTGAACCTTTTTCTTTAAGTTCTAATAAAGCAAGTTCAATTTTTGAGTTAGTGCATTGTGATTTGTGGGGTGCTTATCGTGTTCCTGCTCTATGTGGTGCTTATTACTTATTGACAATTGTTGATGATTTTTCCCGTTCTGTATGGGTTTATTTAATCCGGACTAAAGGTGAAGTTCTCGGGATCCTCAAAAATTTTATCGCCTTGGTTCACCGTCAGTTTGGCAAACAAATTAAATTTGTTCGGACAGACAATGGGTATAACACCCCCGATTTTAACATAATAACAAGGCAATTGAAGCTTAGAGATAGAGATAAAACTAACATTAAGATATAAAGCTTGCGGAAGCTAAATTGATAAATCGGGAGATATCACGCCACACCTAACTACAAAGTTAGGTGCACAGGCTAAAGTCAAAACTTAAATATTCAAAACCATAACACAGAACTCATAAGTTTGATTCTATAGGCTCACAGGCCTCAACAACTAACTAGGAAATCATAAGGGAGCTACGCTATACTAATCTGTCTTCTAGCGCGCTCGAAGAAACTACTCATCACCTGAAAAACATAAGGGGTAGCACCCGTTAGCGAATAATGCTAAGTAACTCACCACTACTTGTGGAGTACAATATAATATAGATATAGGAAAACCATTTGAGACTTGGAATACATAAT